CCAACATCAGTGTGCTCTGTCACTGTGTACATGTGCCAACATCAGTGTGCTCTGTCACTGTGTAAATGGGACCATGCAGGTGGCTCCAGCTATATGCTGCAGGCAATGATCTCTCCAGGGTGCTCACCATGCATAACTCCATAGTTCAGCTACACGACCAAGTCACTATCTTATAGAACTAAACAGTTTAGGAAGTCCCTTTCTGTCACCGTATAGGCAAATGTATAATTCATTAAAATAACAGAAGCCCATACATATAATGTGCCCAGAGAATTTTATATAATTCAAGAGAAGGAAGATCCCTGGGTTCAAGCTTAGACAGGTATCATTAAGAGGTCATGTGGGAAGCCTGGCGGTGGTGGCTCACGCCTTTAATCCCAGCACTCGGGAGGCAGAGCCAGGCGGATCTCTGTAAGTTCGAGGCCAGCCTGGGCTACCAAGTGAGTCCCAGGAAAGGCGCAAAGCTACACAGAGAAACCCTGTCTCAAAACAAACAAACAAACAAAAAAAAAAAACAAAAAACAAAACAAAACAAAAAAAGAGGTCATGTGGTGTGTGTGTGTGGAGGTGGGGTGTGAGGGCGGGGATCTGGAGAAATGACTCAGTGGTTAAGAGCATTGGCTGCTTCTCCAGGACACAGGTTCACTTCCCAGCACCCACACCTCACAACCATCTGTAACTCCAGTTCCAGGGGATCTGATGCCCTCTCCTGGTCTTTGCTGGTACTGCACACACATATGCAGGCAAAACACTCATAAACATAAAAATAAATGAAAGGTCAAGTGAGGGCGAGTGAGATGACTCAGCAGGTAAGGGCATCTGCTACATGATGATGAACCTGAGTTCAATCTCCAAAACACACACCGCGGTAGAACCAAGAGAACGAAGTCCACACCACCGTTGTCCCCTGCCCTCCACTGGCATGCCATGGCATGCCTGCTCCCTTACAAAAATAAGAATCTTGAAAAAGGAAAATTTCCATGTGGCAAAACCAAACCAAACTCCCCCAACAGTGCAAACGGAGGAGAGCAAGTGTGTAACCCCAGAAAACTGGTGCCTTTACAGGAAAATAAAAACCAAGCACCAAATGACATCAGCTCTGGAGCAGGGCTGACGAGAGTCGGAAGTATGTTTCCTTTACTTAGAATGTCTTCCGGTCATAAATGAATCATCTTGATCTACATCTGCCCATCTTGTCAAAGCTCCATTTTACTCAGGTTGAATCACTGCTTCTGACCACTTGGGGCAACACTAAGGAGAGCTTGAAAAGGTCAGCGTCATCGGAGCAGCAGCTGTCACTAATTAGGAGGGAGGCCTTCCAAAAGCCCAGTGTGTGACACTGGGCGGCAATCCTCTCCCAGCTGGCCGACAGCCTGGATGGCCTCAACTCTTCCAGGGTGCCTAAGGATCCTCGGGGTCATTCTGAAATCTTTCTGATGCCTGCCTTTTAAAAAAAGACCTATATAATATTAACACTCTAAAGCACCAAGAAAAATGCCCAGAGCAAATCCCCCCGACACAAGAGAACTGAGCTCTAGTATGCAAAAGGAAAAAGTGCAGCAGGGCAGTGAAGTTAGAAATACTGCTATCACTCAAAAGAAAAACTTTCCATAGCCAAGTCAGCCCTTTTCCTTGTTTCCAGTCTTTGCTTCACCTTCTTGGTCTTTAGAAAAGCGTGTTCCAAGGCTAGAGAGATGGATAGTTCAGTGGTTAAGAGC